TGCTTTAATCTATCATACTTGAAATATTTTGGAAAGTCTATTTTAATGTATTCGATACGCCAGTTCTGTTCCTCTGTTTCGATGTGTTTCAAAAATTCTTCATACATTGGAGCTGTAGTATCCATATTAGCTGCAGTAAAAACATATCTTTTCTCTAAAGCGATATAGATAGTCTTTGGAATTTCTGAAGACAAAAGTGTTTTCAGTGTTCGAACAAATCCTTCTGTTATGCTTTCGTCATAAATTACTGAAAAACAATTCAGTGAAATAAATTCGTACATTGTTTTGATTACTAATTAAATTAGATTATAGCTTACCATCTGCTGCCAAAATAATTGTTGCTTCATTCAGTCGTTCTTTATAAAATGTAGGCCATGTTGAATTTAAGAAGTCTAATTCGTTAACATAAAACTTCGATTTAACGTAAGCGCTATTTCTTAAAAAGTTTCTACGTATTAATTTTAAAATTCCTTCTACATCGATATCTAAAAGACAAAAGAAATATTACTATAATGTTTGATATATGTGGTTACAATGCATAAATTTTTAATAGAATTAAAATTTAACTATTTTATTACCTGTACAAATTACTTCTTTAGCCAAAAAGCTTGCTACTATGCTAGTTAAACCAACTCCGGCTCCCAACTCTAAAACTGTCTTATCTTTAAATAAATCAGGATTTGACAGGATATAATCAGCTAACAACAAGGCGCCTCGCCATACTTGTAGTCCAACATGTTGTAGCTTTGTAGTTGTACGATGTTCTACAAATATATTTAGATATTCTATAATTTTTTTAAATTAATTTATTTAGAATTATGTAACTACATATAGATTAATCTGTACCTATTATTAATTTTTCTTCCTTTTGTCTATCTATATCTAAATCATCATCGCTATCGTGTGGTAGAATAGAGTTGGCACAATTTGGCTTAATCATATAAGATGGACACTTAAAAATAAAGCTGGATATTGCAGCTGAAAAAATTGATTATGTAAATATTATATTAATATGTATTCCCTTATATTATCATGTAAAAACATGATACATTCAGATAATATTTCATTTAAAAAAGCAATACGCACTGCCATTGTTCAACTTGACAAAGGAATTTTTATTTTCTGTGAATATTTCTGATGTTACCGTATGCGGTGTCATTTTTATTTGCACCACTGTATTCAGGAATTTTTTAAATTTTCAGTGTTTTCTTTTTTTTATTGAACAAACCAGATTACATTTTTCATTACTCTGTCCTAAGCAGATAAAACAATAACTTTCTTAAGGAAGGATAAACTATTTTAATATCAGCTAAAAATAGTTATGAAGAAAATCTGTATGCACTAATTATAAAAACATACTTTTACAAATGAGGAACAATTAAAGATTGTTAATTAAAATGTCCATGTAATATGCGTACTTACCCGGGACCGTAAATATCGAACTATATATAAACAGTTTACTGCTTGTGCATAATTACGACTTATGCATTCCATTCCATTCAAACGTTTATATTATAACTGCACTTATATAATGTGCTATTATAGATTAAAATATGTCTCATTTCTAACAAATTTTAAATTACATCGTACTTGCAATTGATCTTTAACAGAGTCGCAAAATAATTACAATAATATTACAGGGTAATGTAAAGACCAAATTTTATATAATAAAGGAGAAAAATAAACGAATTAAAATTAAGTGCTACATCTTTAAATTGTTACTTTAGATAAAGGATATTTAAATAAAAATT